TGCACACCGATCTGCTGGAGGAGGAGGCGCGCCAAGGTACGTGATCCTTCAGCGTTGCGCCCCCCGCTGGCCTGCCTGGCCCATAATACAGCCCCCGTAGTAGCTTAGAACCAATAAGCGTAGCTGTTGTAGACTACAGGAAGTGCCCCCAACTTTTTGTCTCGATCGCAGCGTAACGGGTGGTTTGTGGGTCAGCCTGGAGTCATGACTAGAGTAGCGTGACCACCAGCATGACTCCAGGCAGACAAGAGGGCTGCAAGGACGATAACCCAACAGCAGTCTGGACAGAGGGCTGGTTCTGGCTGGTCGCCATGGTCACAGTGATGCGGGTACATCTCTTTCAGAGGAGGAGTACAAGCGGCTAAGCGAGGCCCTAGCTGACGAGGGCAGCTACAACGCCGTATCCTTCTGCTACAGCGCCGACTACTACGACCCCTCTCAGCCCACGGAGGAGGAGGAGGCTGCTAAGGAGCCAGGTGAGTGGGCCACTAGGTGGTGTCTGCCCTGCTCTGCCCAGACCGGCCCAGGGTCCATGGGGCTGGAGGACAGACGCTGATCCCAGAAGGGGGTGTCTGCCCTGCTCTGCCCAAACCGGCCCAGGGTCCATGAGGCTGGAGGACAGACGCTGATCCCAGAAGGGGGTGTCTGACTTGCTCTGCCCGGACCGGCCCAGGGTCCATGAGGCTGGAGGACAGATGCTGATCCCAGAAAGGGGGTGTCTGACTTGCTCTGCCCAGACCGGCCCAGGGTCCATGAGGCTGGAGGACAGACGCTGATCCCAGATCTGTCTGTGTGTGTCACAGGCTAGCAGACCTCTTACGTGGGGGGCAGTTACGTTACTGCCTCTGCGGTTAACAGTTTGACTCTCCCCCTTTCCTATATTACAGTGGAGCCTGAGCCCCAGGACAGTGAAGAACCCTTCGTGGCCCCCCCAGGCCTGGTGATCCCTCCTGATGTTGAGCTGGTCAGTCTATGTCCGTAGTGTGGGAACGGGGTCACTCTGGGGGGGGGGGGGTGTCTGTTTGTCTGTACACCCTGTCTTCTCACGGCTAATTAGCCTGTAAACATAGTCTCATGTTGGGATGGTTGCGGTTAGGTTGGGGGGGGGGGGGGGGTGGTACTGATGCTGGGTCTGAGATTTAAGGTGAACGGTCTGTGCGCTGAGTTTGTAGCCATCTTCAGGATCGTGCAACCTAGGGGGCAAGATTTTTGGTAAGAATGTAGCCCAGTAGAGGTCATTTGACCTAGGTGTGGGCTATATGGCCAAAATGTTTCCTGATAATTTTGGTTAGAATCACAATCTATCACATAAATCACGATTTTTTTTTTTGCTGTTGTTTACAAACTGGCCAAATTGGAATATATGTTCCGATGTAAATTAACCATTAATCTTCTTAACTAGCAGTTCTACCCTTACAAGAAACACTGCTTGTAGTGTTATCATAATAAACTTAATTAATTAAGCAGGTGGCACTGGTGCCCTGGCACATCAAAATCTTTGCCACCACGTCAAAAACCATCAATCATCTAATCGAAGGCTTCGGTGACTTGCCCAGGACACCCGATTCCCAGCCCCATCCCCCATATATGTATTACGGAATTAACCTGTTAGTGCCATTAAACAGCTGATTTAGCAGACGCTCTTATAAAGCATACGTAGGTATTTTCCAAGGAAAGAAACAGATGAGGTAGCTTAACGGAGCACAGCAACGGCAGCTTCTTTGACGAACTCTGTTAGTAGGTAAGCACTGTTTGGCTATACAGTTCATTTTCAGTTCCTAAATATAGCAAACACTTGAAATATCGTTATGCAATACGTTATGCAATACGTAAAATGAGTGATGACAAAGGCAGGCTAGGCTACTTTGAGAAGCTAAATGGCATGTGTCTATGGCCAACCTCGCATTATTGGGTGCATCTGTCAAAACTGAATGTCTTCTTTTAAAATGTATTTGCATTGCAATCGTGCTGTGGTGATATTTAAGTTCTGCGACTATTTTCATTCACTTTTAATGTGAAGTACTTGCACACAAAAAATTCTTTTGCTCTCATTTTATTTGGACCCTCATTTGCTTTGCTCTGTCTTCCTTCCACCGTATTGCCAAGAAATCCGAAAGGAGAATTTTAATTGATGCTTTTTAATAATCAAGCAATTGAGTTTAATCGAATAATCGTGGCGGCTGTAGTCCGACGATATGTAAAGTTTATTTACTTGTTTACCAGGTTAGCTAAGTAGTTAGAAAAGATCAATTAAGTTTATAGTTCATAATCTAGTCACTAAATTGACATCCACTAAGACTGATATTTGACAAAGAAGTGAGAAAACATGCTTGGAGGCAACACCAATACGAAAATAAAACCCGACAGCGGTGAGATGTTATACAGGCTGAAACTGCTGTTTTTCATCTGTCTGTTTTTATTGTGGTCCCGTTGTGCAATGCCTGTGCGTTTGGAGGCTGCGATAGGCGTGTGGTGGTTTGTGCTGTCGTTAACTAGTGCTGCATTATGATGGACCTTAAACACGTATCATGAATACAATTGCAACTGGTCACAATAAATTATCGCCACATCGCCCGGTAATGTGACTGTGACACCGCAGACGGGCCCCTGCAGTGCGGGGGGTGCCCTTAAAATATCCTGTGTCCCCCCCCAACAGCCTGCCACTACCAAGATGCACGCCATCATTGAGAGGACAGCCAGCTTTGTTTGCAAGCAGGGCGCACAATTTGAGATCATGCTGAAGGCTAAGCAGTCGCTCAACTCGCAGTTTGACTTCCTGCGCTTCGATCACTACCTGAACCCATACTACAGGCACATCCTGCGCAGCATGAAGGAGGGCAGCTATGTAGTGTCCGCTGGGACCCAGCCCAACCAGGCCAACGGTGAGCACCTCCTCTCTCCACGTGTCTCTAGCCCACCTGGGCTGTGCACCAAAGAACTGCATTTCCCATGATGCCCCACTCTTTTAGGATGCTTTCCCAGCTGTCCACAAATGTCCACAAATCAGTTGTATTGAAGGCTGAAAACAGGCTGTCGCTGTTAAATGAAAATGCCCCTGCAGGATGTACGGCCAGACTGAAAGCTCCAGATGGGACGCAGACTCTGGCTTTTTAGCCCTCACTCTTAATCGTCCCTGATGCTTGTTTTTATTTATATGAATTCATTTTGCTTCATCCTGTTGTAGATGCCAAGTCCGACGCGTCGGGGTCAGATGATGACGAAGATGGAGATGGGAGCTACCTGCATCCTAGCCTCTTTGCCTCTAAGAAGAGCTCACGTCTGGAGGAGCTCATGAAGGTGGGTAGCTCACACAGAGCTGTATCTGTCTCAGCGTGTCTGTGTCTGTGATCATCTGGGTTTCACAGTCCTGCAGTCTCCTCTCCTGGTTTTGCCCAGATTTGTTGTCACACCACCTGTGCCCCCACAAGCCTTCCAGCCCTCACCTTGGTTTTTAAAAAGCTGGGTCAGACAGTCTCTGGTAGTATCTTGGGGTTAAGGCCCTTGCTGGGTGACATCACTCTGCTGATCCTGGGATTGGAAACGGTGGCCATGTGATCACAGGCACAGCATCCTAACCTTCAGCATCCTAGCCGCATACTGCTCCCAGGGGGCTTTCCAAATATGGGAAATCTTCTTGACAAATTGTCTGGGTGTCAGAGTAATCTGACAGGGGGCCCTTATGGCCTCTCGAATGATAGGTCAGGTCTGAGAGGGGGCCCATGACACCTGCACTGACACACACCTGGACCTCACAGCCTCTGCAGGTCATGGATCCAGACCATCCTCTGGCAGCGCTGGTCCGGAAAGCCCAGCAGGACCAGAACGGGGCCGGAGAGGGGTCCAGGCTTGGCACCGAGAGGGTGGAAGCAACTGCTGCGCCTACGGAGTATACCACAGACCGTGAGGCCTGGCTACCTTCCCTAAGCCTAACCCTAACCCTAACCCTTACAGCTGGTTATCAAGAAAGAGGAAACTGGGGTGTGGGTGGAGGTGGAGATGTGAGGGGGGGTAGTGTGAGTGAAGGGGGAGTCCAGGGGATAGCGGGCAGCAGTGTGGGTGGAGGCAGAGTCGTAGCGATGGTGGGTGGTAGGGACATTTGTGTGGGTGGAGGCATAGTACCAGGCATGGCGGTCGGTAGTGTGGGTGGAGGTGGAGCCCGGGCATGGCGGTCGGTAGTGTGGGTGGAGGTGGAGCCCGGGCATGGCGGGCGGAAGTGTGGGTGGAGGCGGAGCCCGGGCATGGCGGGGCGGTGGTGTGGGTGGAGGCAGAGCCCGGGCATGGCGGGGCGGTGGTGTGGGTGGAGGCAGAGCCCGGGCATGGTGGGGCGGTGGTGTGGGTGGAGTTGATCTGTGTAACTTTGACATTGTTTCCTCCCCAGCCAACATCCCAATGTATTATGGGTACTGTCTGCTGCCTGATGGCTCATACTGCTTGGCTCCGCCCCCACCTGGGATAGAAGCCACCTCCTACTACAGCTCGCCCCCTGCTGGAAGGCTCCCGCCAGTTACCTCCTCCTCCTCCACCACCACAATGCCTCCGCCCCCTGGGACCACGCCTCCGCCTACCACTGACCCTGTGGCCACACCAGCCCCTGCCTCACGCCTAACATCGCTCCCTGCTGCAGTGGAGGCTCCGGCAGCCAGGTGTGTTGACAGTGATGTTGCCTGTGTTTCCATGCCATGTGATCTGTGGGACTTTGTAGGATGTTCTGCTTCAGGGCATCTGATGAGGAGGGATCAGAGCTGTGGGACCTGCCTTGGAGCAAGGAAGAAAATTTTTATAATGAAACAGATGTTAATCAGGCTGGCAGGAAATTCGTTATCATTATTCAGTAGGGTAATTAGTGCTTCAGTGTCACCAGAAAAGGCGGAAATGATCTGGATGCAGTTAGAGCATCTATAGAAGGTTTGTAGTAACTGAGAGCTATGGTGACGTCCCCCGTCTCTCTGGGTGTGTGTGTGACAGCACACGAGCCCCCGCCCCCGTGCCTGCCATCATCCCACCCCCCCCAGATGTCCAGCCCGTCATCGACAAACTGGCAGAGTACGTAGCGAGGAATGGCGTGAAGTTTGAGGCCAGCGTCCGGGCCAAGAACGACCCCCGGTGAGTCCCTGATTCTGTGAACAAGCTCATAAGTGGCTTCCTGCAGTGGGGTCCTGCACTGCCTTGTTACTCCAGCTCTGTGATAAGGTGGTATTTCTGATGTCTGACAGCAAATGGGCTCCATCCTTCCAGCACTGGTCTCCTGTTCACAAACATCGCTCTTAAGCTCTGTCTGGTGTCTCGCCCAGGTTTGATTTCCTACAGTCCTGGCACCAGTACAACACCTACTACGAGTTCAAGAAGCATTACTACATGCAGAAGGAGGGCGTCTGTCTGCTAGAGGTAGGCACCAATAGGGGAGGAATGCTGCACTGATCCCATCAGTTTGGGGGTGGGGCTGTATCACACTGACCCCGCCCATAAAGAGGATGAGCCTGTAAGCACTGATCCCATCAGTTTGTGGGTGGGGCTGTATCACACTGACCCCGCCCATGCAGAAGATGAGGCTAGACCACAGTGATTCCCCCCATGTGGGCGGGTCCGCATTCCACTGATCCCAGTGGGGCTGTATAGGTCAGAGCGCAGTTTATTGGGTCTTTTGGGGCTGGGTTGGGGAGAGCTGTGTGTTCTAGTTCTGTGTCCACATTGGACTTCGGCTTGCAGCTGGCCCAGTGCACTGCCCAAGCTCTCCAGTGCTGTCCACAGACCCGTTCCTGTGTGCAGCTCCCACTTTACCTGCCATAACTACTTGTTTTGTTGCACAGTGACTATAAATGTCCGGTTGCCAGGGTGACGCCAGTCTGTGGACTGCAGCCCATTGCTCAGGCTGTTTTTATGGTTTTGCTCAACAGAACCGGTTCTGGGGCTTCCAGCTGGACGTCCTACCCATTCATTACTAGTGAATGTGTGTGGCGTCCCTGCCGGATCACCACAGCCCTCAGTGTGGGGCGGGGGTTTCCCTTGTTTCTGGAAAGTTCTGGCCTTAAGACCCGTCTATGGCAGAATGTTTAAAGGGTCCATAGGGTATTAGTTTAAATACTGGAACTCGTGGCCATAGATGGAAATTAGCGGGAGAACATTTTAAACTGAATTTACACAGTGATAGTTGAAGTATGGAATAGTCTTCCTGCTAGTGTAGCAGAAACTAAAACCCTGGGTTCCTTTAAATCAGAGCTAGATAAGATTTTAACAACTCTGAGCTATTAGTTAAGTTCTCCCCAAACAAGCCTTATGTGCCGAATGGCCTCCTCTCGTTTGTAAATTTCTTATGTCCCTGCTGCCTGGAATTAGGGAGAAGCTGGTCTCTCTGCTTTTTCCCTCCTCCCCTCAGGGATCTGGAGGTGCACCGGGCAGCACAGGCAGGGTCTCCACCTCAGACGGCCTGGTGCCAGAAGAGGGAGCCAGTGGGTCCTCCAAGGAGGGCAAACTAAGCAAAGGTAGGAGATCAGGTGTTGGCAGGAGGTGGTGTCCGGCCTGGATGTTTGGGAGGAGGTGTTTGTGTTTTCGAGTGTTCAGTACACTGTCAGACTGATTGTAGAGCTGACCTACAGAGGTTATTCATAGTCGTTTGCTCACACCACCTGTCCCCCCCCCCTCCCTGTTCTCCCAGCATCCTTTGCTCCAATATGTTTCGCCATCAAAGCGAAGGAGAATGACCTGCTGCCCCTTGAGAAGAACAGGGTGAGGCTGGACGATGACTCCGATGAGGAGCAGGGCCGGGAGGCAGCCCCAGAGCCTCTGCCTGTGGGAGGGGGAGGGCCCAGCCCACTCCCCAGGGAGCCCCCCCCAGCCCCCTCCCTGGAGGAGAAGAAGCCCACACTTTCACTTGAGGAGCTGGAGGCCAAGCAAGGTATGATCTCCAGGGCTCTTCCCTCACGGCGTATGGGGTCCTGGTCCATAGGTGTCCGATCACAGTGAGACCCTAATGTAGATGTATAGACTTCCCTGGCCATCCCTGTAGGCGTCCCTGTGCCATCAGCACTCTGAATCAGGGAATGTGCTGCCCCCCTGTGGTTAGGAGGGAAAGTGTCTGCACTCAGACCTCGTGGCAGAGCATTTTCCCCTGCTGGGTGGCGCTGTCTACCATACCACTCTGACACCCCCCCCCTCCAGCCAAGCAGAAACTGGAGGCGCGCCTGGCGGCGGCTGCGAGGGAGAAGCTGGCCCAGGCCTCCAAGGAGTCCAAGGAGAAGCAGCTGCAGGCCGAGCGCAAGAGGAAGGCTGCTCTCTTCCTGCAGACACTGAGGGCGCCGCAGGCTGCCGACGACCCCCCAGCTCAGCCCGAGGTCCGTATCCCCACACCCCGCCCCCCCCGCGTCACTCAGCCTCCCTGTGCAGTCGGGGTCAGAGGTTACGACCTCTGGGGTGAGCAGCCCAGATCACTCTGACAGGCCCCAGTGCCGATGTTGGGGGGCACAGTCCTGATCTGATATTGTGACCGGAGATGCAAAATATATCCGCATCAGTCTGATGTGTCGATCTGGGTCGATATTGCAGGCCGCTATTTAGATTTTAGTCAATATTCAGAATTAGCAGAATGGTTGTTTTTCCTATCTGCTGTTACACTGATATTTTTAAACGTTTTTAATAGTTTCCCACGAGAGTGAATATCAGTATTATTAGACAAAAGTGTATTAGTTATTGGTATCAGCCAAAATTTCCCCATTGTTTGACTGTGTCTTGTGCTCTTGGCGGCGTTTGTAACACTTGGCTCATACCCCACCTGGAGGAGTGATCAGTGTTTCGTGTTTCCTGCCATCGGCAGGAAGTGATGTCATATTGTTCCGGAACAGGGCCGCTGGAGCAGTGAGTGTGAGGGAAGGCCGGCCCTGTACCACTTTAGCACCTTGATCACTCACGCTGCATTTCTATTGGCCCATACCTCTCACTCCCGGGGCTGTTTCTGTGCTGTGTCAAAGGCCATTTTGTTTGGTGGGGGTGGGGGAGTCTGAATTCCGCCTGTGGCCCCTTCGGTGCCTCCGTCCTACTTCCTGCCCAGGGAAGATGCAATTGTCTAAAAATACCCCCAGAGCTGCCTCACTTTCTAGAGACGTTTCAGACCCAGAAATGTCAGTGAAGGCCTGGCGGCTGATTGGCCCGTCACTGCTTGACTTTTTTTTTGTGCTGAAATTTACGTTTGTGCCAGTCTGGTAACCACAAGGTGCGTGACTTCAGAATGACTTCTGGGCTTCTTAGGTGTCCTTGCCAGGTTTTAAATTCCCAGTTCCAGTGTTTTCTCCACCCCCAGCACCCACGCAGCCTGGGACACTACTGTGTCCCTCCCACCTGCTCCATTGAGGATTGAGTCTCCTGTGTCACTGTGAGTGTGGAGGGTGTTAGGAAACCCATATACTGGTCCATCTCCCAACTTGGGTGTGTGAGACCTCTTTCTGGAAAGTTCTTCACTTTGCTTTTCAGGGCCTATGAAGGTATGCAACTGAAATGCAGACAGTCACTGCTCTCCTGTTCAGTGCGTGATGATTCCTATAGAATGTGGCCAGCTCCGATGATGGCCCCCAGGCCGCAGTGCAAGCCATGCTTCATATGTTTGGGAGATCCCTGAGGAGAGTTAATTAGAAGCAGATTAGCCATGCGAGCAGGGCCGCGAACTTCTTTACGATGGTTGAGGGAAATCCCAGATGTTGGGTGAAACGCGGAGATCACATTACATACTGCATGACACTCAGTGAAGTATCAGCTCTGCTTAATGCCCCAGAGGGTCTGTGAGAGGCTCCCCTTAATGCCCCAGAGGGTCTGTGAGAGGCTCCCCTTAATGCCCCAGCATCACCACAGAGAGTCTGTCATACCGCTTAATGCCTCGGTGTCACCATGGAGGATCTGCCGTTGTGCTTAATGCCCCGGGGTCACCGCAGAGGGTCTGTCATACTGGTTAATGCCCCGGCATCACCGCAGAGGGTCTGTCATATCGCTTAATGCCCTGGCGTCTCCGCAGAGGGTCTGTCATACCGCTTATTGCCCCGGTGTCACCGCAGAGGGTCTGTCATACCGCTTAATGCCCCGGCTTCACCGCAGAGGGTCTGTCATACCGCTTAATGCCCCGGCTTCACCGCAGAGGGTCNGGGTCTGTCATACCGCTTAATGCCCCGGCTTCACCGCAGAGGGTCTGTCATACCGCTTAATGCCCCGGCTTCACCGCAGAGGGTCTGTCATACCGGCTAATGCCCCGGCGTCACCGCAGAGGGCCTGTCATACCGCTTATTGCCCCGGGGTCACCGCAGAGGGTCTGTCATACTGGTTAATGCCCCGGCATCACCGCAGAGGGTCTGTCATATCGCTTAATGCCCCGGCATCACCGCAGAGGGTCTGTGACTCCCCTCAATGCCCCGGCATCACCGCGGCGGGTCTGTGGGTCTTTGACTTACTGCTTTGTACAGGTTCTGTGATTCTGAGCCTTTTGCTTGTTCATTTGTGTTCCTTATGCGCTTTACATGCATGTGGTTCATGTCCTGACAGGCTGGCTCAAGGTCACAGTTCCATGCAGAGGAATGCTTCTCGGGGTAGTCATCTTTTCTGGTACATACTACCCCTTGTGAATTCCTTCAGGTCATTCTGCAAGTGAACCTCATTATGGTTCTGCCTTGCACTAGTCAGCAAACTGCCCGATTCGCTCATCACTGTTACCATGGTACTCGCAGCATCATTGGAGGGCCAGCGTTTTACCAGTGAGGCCTGCCTGTGTCTAGCCCCATCTCAGTTGCAGAGGATGCTGGGAACTCATATTGAGTCAAGGACGTGGTGAATCTAGGGCTCCACAATGAAACACCCAGCAACCGCACAGGGAAGGAGGGAGGGCCAGTGACTCTGCAGGAGGAAGCGGGTCGTGTATAAATACCCAACGAGGACAGCGTGTTCTGCTTTCTGGCGGACCCATTCGTCAGTACCGTGTCCCTTTGGACCAGCGGCTAGAGCAGGAGGAAGGGTGCGGCCTACTGTGGCAACCCGTCAGGTGGCGTTTGTCCTGCTGTGGCGACCCGCCGGGCGGCGTTTGTCCTGCTGTGGCGACCCGCCGGGCGGCGTTTGTCCTGCTGTGGCGACCCGCCGGGCGGCGTTTGTCCAGCTGCGGCGACCCGCCGTGCAGCGCTTGAACCTTGACCTGTGTTTGGTTCCATTAATCATACTCCTCTCCGCCCTTTTTATCTCATCTCCGGCAGCCTGAGGTGCTCTCCTGTCTGCCCCCGCCCAGCCCGCCGGCCATGTCTCGACTCCTCTCCTACCCTGTCGACCCCAGGCCTGTGGAGACACCCTCCCTGCCCCCGCCGCTGCCTCCTTACCCTTCCGCGTCACCTTCACCCTTGTCCTCGTCCTCGTCTCACCGTGACCATGACCGGGAGAGGCGGAAGAAGAAACACAAGAGGAGGTCACGCTCCCGGTCGCGCTCACGCTCGCCCCCTAGGGCCAAGAACAAGCATAGTCTGCCCAGTGCATACCGCTCTGTCAGGAAGTCCAGGTAGGTCCTGTGTTTAAGTACATATACATGTATGGGTGGGGAAGAGGGGTTGGCAGAGGATGCAGGAGCATGCTGGCTAAGTAAAAAATAGTTTGTTCCACTGTCAAGAAAAAATCTGGTTCTAACCATCACGCCCCCTGCAGTTACACTAGTTACATTACAGGTCTTGGGTCCAGAGTTTGCTTAAGGCCAGCCATATTGTTTTCTGTAAAGGCTGTGTTACATGGTGACCGCAGCTGAAATAGATTCAGGAATAGATTACAGGCATGTTAACAGACGGCTGGAACCTTCTGGATTAGTGCCGTTACCTGGCTCTCCCAGCGCTGCCCCCTAGTGGACTGTGCTCAGGCTTTCGGCTTGCACAGTGTAGGGCTGTACGAGAGGCAGCCTGCTTCTCTGCCCCATTTCTCTGGAAATTAAATGCATTCCACAGAAATCACACGTGGCCTGGTCTCCCTTCCAGGGCTCCGGAGGTCTGATTGTCAGCAACCCCACCGTCGCCCTTCCGGAAGGGTCGGGTGGACTTTGCAGCCCCGCCTCTTTGGGGCCTGCCAGCTAACGGGCTCCCGCTCGCTGTGTCCACTGTTTCAGCAGATCGCGGTCGAGGACACCCAGCCGGAGGGACAGGAGGCGTGAGGAATGGGAGCGGGAGAAGGAGCCATATGTTCCCAGTGCATATCGCCATGGCAACAGCGCTGGTGTCAGCAAGAAGCACTCCAGGTCGAGGTAGGGGGCGCCATCGGGTTTCGGTAGGCGATCTGCCCCAATGGCTGTGCATCTAAGCTCGGCCGTCCTGCTTTAGGAAGCCGTAGAACTGCCCCCGGCTTCCAGTTGCGTATTTTCTGCTTTTCAGCCCCTCCCCCACTTTTTGTGCAGGTCACCGCATGAGAAGAGAAAGAGAAAGAGTGCCAAGTCACACGTGAAGCTCCGGGCCTCCTCCTGCTCGCCTGCCTCCTCCCCGGGCCGAAGCAGGAAGCGGGCCACTGCTCGATCCTCCAGCCCCGCCTCTGTACTGGGGAGCCCCGCCTCTAGCCTGCAAAGGTCTGCCTCCGATTGGCTCTCTCATCCATGCCCTGCTCTTCTTTCCATGGGTGCCATGGGTCAATGGACTTGTGTCTTTGCAGGGGAACATCGCAAGACCGGCAGAAGCAGGTGGCTTCTGCAATTGTCTCCTCTGTACAGACGAAAATCACTCAGGTGAGGATCCCATGCATGAGGGCCTGGGTTCCCCGACATCTGTGCTGCTGAGGCCTGCCTCTGTGGGAAATAGCTTCAGGGCCCGAAGTCTCTGGTGCCTTCATTGGCACACGGATGCCCTGGAGCGGGTCCATTTGCAGTCAGGGTCCCGATGAGTACCAAAGTGGGCTTCCCCCACTCGCACATCCGTCTGTTCACTCAGCTGACCTCGCTGTGTCTCCCCGCTGCAGGATCTCATGGCCAAGGTACGCGCCATGTTGGCTTCTCCCAAGGACATGCAGACCAGCACATCCTGAAGATGGTGCCGTGCCTCATAATACCCAGCAGTGGAGCCCCCTGACCAGTCGGCACCATTAATATTTGACTTTTAACGTTTTAATTTGTATTTTCTTTGTTTGGGGACTGGGCTTTTTGTGGGAGTCTGGGTGGTTTGGGTGTACTCTGCTGTTGTAAGGAAAGGTGGTGAAATTGGGCATGTAGTCTCCCTCCGCTCAGCTGTGTGGTTCTGTTGCTCAGCAGGCCCTTGCTTCAGCCTGTGTGACAGTGTTTGGAAGCCAGGTAACGTTATGGTGGCCCTCCCTGAGCTGCAGGCGACCTGAGCTCTGTTTTCCGGGTTGCACTCTTCAGAGACGCCCCATAACCTGGTGGACGCCTTCCTTCCGTGAAGGGCCTCCCTGGGCCTGCTCCTGGCTGCCCTCTAGCGCTGCCTTAAACCTGTGGCTCTCTTTTTTTTTTGTACAAGCTGCTTTATGGACAGATGAACTGCAAATAAAATATGAGTTACTGCCCCCCAGTCTGTTTTGAGTGTTTGTGTTGATCACGTCATCCAGAAAGACAGTGGTGACCATAGAGGACCTGGTTAGGGTCCCTCTGAGATGTTGGCCCTCTGGGGGTCTAATGCTGGTGCGAGTAAATGCCTTTTGTTATAAGGAACTGGTCTTTGATCAGCTTGACCGACAACCAAGCTAACGTACCTTCACACAGTGGGAGCAGCGCGATCAGACCATCGAAACATCCTCTCTGGGGCAGGAGCTCAGCAGCTGATTTTAATTTTAATTTGACGTTATTTCTCCAGAAGCCCATAGTGGTTGTCTCAGCCTCATGGGAGTTCTTGGTAGACGACTTGGGTGTCTACAAATGGAAGCATGATCCTGAAGACGTCTGGTTAATGTGCCCCCCCCCCCCCCCCCCAAATCCAGCGTAATTATAGGACAAAGTATTCGCATGTGAAATGCCCCAGTTCTGAAATGGATACTCTGATGGAAATGTAATTTTCATTTCCAAGTGGCTTTGCGTTGGGTGTGGGGGAGGAGCTCGCTTTGGGATGTAGTGACTGAGGAATGTTTTGCTCCAGCACGTTTCCCAGGCCTTTCTCGTGACATTCTCAGGTGCTGGAACCCATGCAGAACTGCCATCTTTTTGGGGTTCCAGCTGCTCTGTAGTTTTGACCCTGACTCTGCTTAGGAGAACCCAGGCTCTGAGGACCGTAGCTTCTTGAGATCCAGGGGAGAAAAAAAATCATATTGATTTTAAATTGATTTTGATTTGACAGGAAGAGGAGGTTGGCAAGGCCACATCTGCAAGCATGTAACAGTGTAAAGCTCTAACTGTCCTCTTTAAGAAGGAATTTAGAGAGTGACATGCAGTATGAGAGATGAGCAAAATCAAAATGTCCTGTATAAGGGACAAAGATGAATTGCTGGACCACAGGAGGATATGGAATTCAGCCAGATATATAACTGTACTGGGCCTGTTCTGTTGGTCTTGTGGTAGGTCTGTGGCGTCCATAGGAGCTCCAAAAATTCATTGGTTCGTTACTGTGGTAGGCTCATTCTGGCAGTTTGTCCTCCTAAACTGTAGTGTCTGGAGGGGTGAATATCTTCATTGAAGTGTTGGTCTCTACTATCCTCTTCCCTAACTGAATAGTAATGGAGAGGATTAGATGCCCACCTTCCTACAGACTATTCCCAGAATTGGCTTATTCTTCTCACACACTGCTTGTTACTTTGTGATCATTATTGACAGTAGTGTCATACATATACTGTTATGATAATGTGTGAGATGAAAATAAGCCACCTGGACCTCTAAGGTGAAGGTCCAAACCCCTAACTGAAAGGCTACATCCTTGACAGCTCCCAGCTCTCTCACTCCCCCAATGACTCGCTGGCTAAAGTTGAAAGTTCATAAAGCTGATGAGGGTAGGAAAGTGAGTGAGGCAGCGTGGACAAAAAGTGGTATTGGGACAGACTTGCATCTTTGATGATTTACCATACTCAACCTGTATTTATGAAGTAGAAACCTTTATCGCGTGGCTGTCAGCAAAGGTGAATTTCTCTTCCACAAAGGGTACTGGACTGGACTTCCACACGTCTTCAGCAAAGGGCTGATCTGAGTGAAAATTGGCCTTCTATGAATCTTTCCCTATGGTGTTGGGACAGCCCTGGTGGTGAGGGAGGGTGGCACAAATAAGGTTTTGGAATGTAGCCAAAAACTGCAGCTGAAGATCAGAGATCCATGACGGCTCAGGTAATGAGTCTCATTGTTAAAACCTCCTATGCCAGAACGTTGAAGTCAATCTTAGGTTCTCAATTTCATGCAGGAGTTGATGTTAGATGATGATGTCCCCTGAAGGCAAGTCAGTCAGTGAGCTTTATGGATGCGTGTGAGTGTGCACTCGCCTATCTATAACCATGTATTAATGTTTTCATGGATTACAGGCTGCTGGTCCTGATTAAACTGTAGTGAATGATAAATGATAGTGTTTTTTTTATGATATCCATCACACAGGACTTCCTCTCCACTCCTCCTCCTCCATCGTGTGGCCTGGCTCTGGAAGTCATGTAGAAAGGTGTCCCTACAAGGATCCAACCTGCCTGTGCTGCTTCTGGCGGGGGGGGGGTGCTCACTTTGGCTTGGATGGGGTTCTTCCCTGGTTCTAGGGAAGTTCTGTGTAGCAAATAGCACCGGGGCCCCTCCAGCATAGTGACCGGCTCCGGGTGGGGGGGGGGGGGGGGGGTGTGCATCTGTCATGTGCTTCTCCCATTCTCATGATCAAGGTCTGTGATCTGTGCTAAGATGTCTTAAGCAGGACGTCACAGCACAGCATCTTCATTCTCAAGGAGCATGCCCATCTTTATCCACTGCGGCTTTTCTGCACTGAATGGTCATGTGACCTGCATCTCTGACGCCTGCACCACCTCTGGGATCCGCGATGCAGATGCGTTGCGGTAAATGTGCCCTAATTTCAGACTTTTGGGCCAAGCTGTCCGAAAGCGGCCTCCTGCACGGGAAATTATGGTCTTTCTGTTGGGAGTGAAGCAGGGTCCCAGCCTGATAACACAACTGGCATTTCAGTGACTGGGGGGCTGGGGTTCATACTGCATAATAATATGAGTGGCCCAGTAACGAACTGCAGGTTCGTGCTCTTGTGTGTTTTGGAGTGTGCAGCCAACCTTTGCCCCAACCCGCGGGTGAAACGCCAAGACTCAGCATTAAGAGCAAGGCTTAGCTAAGTGTAACGTTTCCTGGGAAGGTTCTGGAAGGTGCAAGGCCCAGACACCCGCCCAGCTTCCTGCACTGCAAGAAGATCATGGGATCATCACCCTGTCTGCTTGGACTTGGACTGAAAAACAGCTTCTAATTTAGGGGCTGGATTTATAAAAGGGTGCTAATCACAGTGGGGTAATTTGATTCAGCTTTGTTGTTGGGGGGGGGTGGTCTGTTCAATCTGAAACCAGGTCCTGAGGCTTGTCTGGAAGGGATCTTGTTCAGTCAGAACCCAGGTCCCGGGGCCCAGGGGGGATGGGCATTGATTCATGAGTGAATTGAGTAAAAGAGACGTTTTGTATTGTATTGCACCTCAGTCGGCTCTATTGTCTATTTTATAAGGCTGCATAAAATGCGGGTTTCAGAAATAAAGGCTTGGCTCCCTCGTCTAACAACATTGAGGGGATCTGAACAGTTACACGTTGTTATCTGTAAGAATTATCAGGACTTCAAGGTGCCTTTGCCAGGATTAAACGTGATCCAGTCATCCTTAGCATTTCTCAAAGCCACATACAGCCACAAGACGACAGGCTTCATTTTGTTTGGGTTCCCGCTAAGATGGAAATCGGATCCCGGGGGGTAATGAAAACATTGCATCTGAATCAATCTGTTCTTTTTTTGTAGTTCTGAACCCAGGACTCTTTTAAACAATTTCCACCATATAAAAATGCTATATATACTCATTTGTAGCTTGGCACTAATTTATGATGGAAAAAGAAAGCATGATTGCAGACGCATATGGCCATGTGTGTTCGGGCCTTAAATTGTTAACTTCAAAATGCTCCAGTTGGCATTGCTTCACTGAGGGAGGGGGGGCACACCCAGAGCCTGGCTCTCATCAGCCGGACCCCAAATCAGGCTGGTTTTTTGTGGTTCCGTTTGGGCTGGGAGAGGTGGCATTAGTAGAGTCAGCTTCATGTTTGTTCTTCGCTTGTGTGGAAGAGCCTTTATGTCTTCCCTTCTTTCCCAAAGACGACATTTTATTACACAGAAAACATGGCTGTGTTTCTGACAGTTTTGCCCATCTGTACATCGAGATTTTTAATTCACATGATTTGGCTTCAGCACTTTATGCATGACGTCAAAGCAGACCGTGGGCGATGAACTTGCTGCACCCATCGATCACTACACCACCTGCTGGTGTCTATAGGTGTTCAAGCATCAAAGGAGTTACTGGGGCTTTGGTGACACTGCTTTGGACAAAGGCATTCGCTATTCAATTGCATTTTCTGATGTATCTACGTTTATCTATAGTCAGCACATAGAGAAGCAGAGTGTGAACTCAAACGAGCAGATGATGGCTGAGAGCTGGCTGAACACCAGACAGCTGGGCACAGCTGACATTTGCGGATATGTAAACTCCATTCCTGTATCCAGTTGGAAATTTCAGAAAATTCAGAAATTAGGTAGATAAAACCATCTCATCTGGTGCTTCCTCTCAACCCTGTACCCATTTTTCCTTCCCTTCTCTTTTCTGTTTGTTCTCCTTTGGCAACAGTTTATATAGGATGTGACCCCTGACCATACTGAACACCGGGCATTTCTTCCACCTCAACAGTTTATATAGGATGTGACCCCTGACCATACTGAACACCGGGCATTTCTTCCACCTCAACAGTTTTGGAGTTGGCTGATTTCTGTAGATGCACTTCAAAATGACAGCTGTGCTTAGTCTTGGGCTGGGTTTGCTGTGTGTTGCAGGTTAAATTTAAGTGAAACCCCTTTGCGTCAGAATTGCAGGTCACATGATGATGCAGGGCTGCTCCACCTATCTCCGACAGTTGACCTGTCTCCGTAAATGGTCTTCATTAGAGATGCACTTCAGCTGAACCCGGGTGACCCCACCCAGATACTGTTGCGTAAGCTCATGGGAATCAGCTAATTCAGCTAACTAGGTTAATTAAAATGGAGTGCAGGTTTGAATCAGTTGGAGTGCTGCGATCACCACACATGGCTTTGATTTTGTGCATTCCTCAGTGGGGGGCGGGGTGTCCCTCAGGAGCAGGGGGTTGCATGAGTGACGTGCTGCTGCAAGTTGCCATGTAAACGTCCTTCACTCTACACACCCTAATGCCCCCCAGTAGCCCCCCTTCACAAGTTATGTGACATGGTAACATCCTTACAGTGAGTGTGTATGGTGTGTGTGTGTTTTTCCCTTAACCCCTTCCTATCCATTTATAAATTACCGTGTCGGCAGTGCCCCCCCACAAAAAAAATTCTCACTTAATGACTTAAAATGATGTATCA